TACATATACACACACACACATATATATATACACATACACACACACACCCACTGTGTATAAATATCCTGTTTTCATCCATGACAATTGCTCCAGTCCATACTTTACAAAATGGCCTCCTCCTCCTCCCCCCTCTACGTTCTAGAGCCCCCCTTCATTGGTAATGTATTCCGCTATCACAGACAGAGCCTTCTAAATGGAATTGGAGGACTGTAAAGCAGCGGTATAGGGATTATAACCTCTTTAGATGCAAACAGATTTCGCACCCAGTCTTTATTCTCGCTGAGAAATAAGAAAACAGCAGGTTGTGTTAGAAGCGGGCTCCGTGAATCATTCAAACTCCTTTTCAGCGTGTTCTTGAGAGGAGAGGGCGACATTGAGGAGAGAGGGGAATATGTATAATTTTTCATAACATAGGAAAATGTCAGTGTGAAGAAAATAGCATGCTCCAGCCTTTAGATTGTTACCTTCAGCCAGTGCTGGGGATTTACACTGTATAAGACGGAGGGGAACAGCGCCGAAATTATACATCTCATGCTCAGGCATTTACCGTGACTTAAGCAGCTATGCTCTCCTAGATCAATCCTGCAAAGTGCACCTGTCATGTACCAACTGTGGAGGAAGCCAGTCTGCAAGCTTACCAGAAGCTATACTGTCAAGCTTATGTACGGGCTGCCATGTTGAATCTCATGAGGACTCCACTGGTCTGATCCCCCCCAGCACATTTACTAATTCTGCCCACCTGTTAATTACAAAACTTTCCTTCAAGGGATTTTCCATATTTCCAGAATTTGGGTTCACACCTATGACCATGCCATTACAGCTGGGTAAACGGAAATGTGCATGAGTCCTAATGTGGCCGATTTCTGCTAAATCAGATTAAATGCAATCTGTGGGTGGCCCTGCGGGCACCACCCGGTACAACAAAGTACATTTTTCAATCAACTTTTGTCAAAGGAGCCAGGTGGTAAATTGTTGGAGCGCAAACAATCAGACACCGGCTACCAAACTATAACAGCTGGCAGGAAAGACTCGTCCATCCACGCAGTTTAGCGTAAATGGGGGAGTCTAGCAGTTTTCATCTCAAAGTGTATGCCCAGCTTTAGACTTATCGCTTTAAAGACACGGACGCAATGGAATGTCATTAAGGTAAGGCCAGGTCACCGTGTCTTCTATACAGTACAATTTACAGTATGGTGACAATAGAGAAGACAGGACTAGCCTGGAAGAGCAAACCCCTCCACGTCTCTCGCCCTCTTCTCTCTTCCTCAATGATGCCGCCCCCCGCTGCGCTCTGCAGCTCCATGCGGGGAGATCGCCGACACCATCGGCTCCTGTTGTATAATAATGTTGGTTTCTCCTGTCATTTCCCCAGGCTGCCAGTCATGTGAGATGAATAAAAAATACACAGCCAATTTCATTGTAAATCTAAAGTATACAACTGGGGCTCATAAAATACTACCTGAAAGGACCGTGCATGTGTGCCCATAACAACCAGTCTACTTCCTCCCAACATTTTCTAACCTACACCCTAGAAATGTGATATTTGATTGGCTTATAGGTGGCACAGTCTCACATAAGGCCTGCATAAGCAGCAGCCGGCAGACGGAACCACAGCACCCAGCCAGGGGACCTGTCACCCAACACACCCAGAAATGTTGGCTAATATTCTTTTACAGGGTAGTTGTAGCCTAAGTTTTTAAAGACTAGCGACAGGGTTGGTTTAAGAGAAAAGAAAGGCAAGGCACAACCCGAGCCACACTACTGAACAGGGAGCACAGTCTGCATATGCAGCAAGTTCATGAATGACAATCTGTGTTCAGAAACAGGGTTTTAAAAGCATAACCACACTGTAACATTGAAGGGGGGAAAAAACTCCCCCGGCAGTGTGGCTGCTCCCGCACTACTAGGGTGAACCACTCATTAAGGTCTAGGGTACCTTGGAAAACGACTCTCACTTACCTGATCCCCATTCATACAGGACCCAAGCCTGGCACCCGCAGCCTCTTCAGAGGCCCGCTAACATCATCACATACAATGCAGGTCCCACAGCCCTGCATTATATACGAGTATGCCGAGGGACAGTCCAGAAGCCAAAAGGGCAAGGGAGCCAAGGGAAGCACCGACTGCCAGGGGAGAGGGGATCAGGTAGGTAACCCTTTCTTTACACCACACCCCTAGACCAAAACGAGCAGTTAAGTATGTGTTAAAAACAGAGGTTGTCACGGCGCAAGTGACATCATCACGAGCTGGATCATTGCTGGTTGTCACAGGTCGGCTAGAACTATGAGGAGGAGTGAAAAGCACTCACCTCATAGTTCTCCTTTAAACCAACTTGGGAGGACTCAACCTCTTGAGTAGCTCCCATTTTCACCCCTTATACTTTTATATACAGAGCTGTGAACAATACTAGTGGCTCTTTCACCATTTTACTTTTGGTGGCTCTATAGAACCACTCAGGTCTTATAAATCCTCTGAAGAACGTTCCAAACATTTTGAACATGAATACTCAAACAAATCTGTCCGTCTGCTTCAACAGATCTTTTAAAGACCTTTTTTAAACCGTGTAAGCTAACTACTTCCCGGGAGGAGAAGAACGGCTCCATTCACAAATGTTACTTTCCGCAGCAGCAGATTGTAAACCAACGCATTTCACACATTTGGCACCGGAATGCTCAGCAGATGATTGAAACATCTGCGAGAATTAATTATTTTGAGCAACAATCTGCAGAGATGAAAGAACTATCTGCCCTGAAAGAGAGGAAATAGGAAACTCAAATGCTAACATTGGTGTAGGAAAAAGAAAGAAGAAAAAAAAAATATGGAACATGATAAAAGTTATAAAAAAAGGCAAGAACTACACTCAATCCCTAATACTAAGTGTACCAGATGCAACTGAGCAAAAGTCGCTATAAACCCAACCAGCAAAATCACAGTGTTTGGCTGCATTTCCCACGCTAGGGAGCCACAGGCTCCCATATAAGTCGATGCGTCTGGACGTACAACTTTGGATGCAACATCCACTGTTGTCACTGAGGTGTGAGGAGAGTGGCTGTATGGAAGTATCGGCATATACCCGCATTAGGGCTGCAACTAATGATTATTTATATAATCGATTAGTTGCCCGATTATTTTTTTCAACTAAATCGATTGGTTGCATTCAAAAAACAAAATATCTCTTTCTCTCCCCTTTTCCCCCTCAACCAACTAACCGATAATGAGAATATTTGCCAACTATTCTCATAATCGATTATATTGATTAGTTGTTGCAGCCCTAACCTGCATACAGTCATTGACTTATATGGGAGGCTGCATGCAGTACCAGTGTGAGCCTGGTGGGGGAAAGACTGCCACATTTCTGTTGTACGGATACAGACATCCACGTGCATGAGCCATTAAGCTTATCATGTTAATGCCATTTTAAAATTTCAATCATTTTACATCTGCAGCTTTTAATAAAATATTCCCTGGTGATCGTGCCATGAAAGTCTTTGATCAGGCACTTTCTATAATAGGTGACAACGCTCTGTCCATGTAGTCCAACTGTCCACTTGCGTTGTCATCCTGTCTCACACTCTTCCAATGGAGAACCATGTAGCCCAACTGTCCACTTGCATTGTCATCCTGTCACACAGGCTTCCGATGGAGACTTTAAGTGGCCATTTCAGTACACTTATGCAGACATGACCCACTGTCGTGACCACCAGGAAAAATGCAATGCAGCCATTGCTGGAGCGCACGTAGACAGGAATTGCTGCAAGCGATGAGCAGCACTGAGATGCAGCAAAAAATAAAAAATATATTTTATTTTTTTAAATGGCAACCTTTTATGATACCCAAATTAAATGTCATCCAGTTAAGGTTTACGTCTACTTTGACATCATATTAAAGAGAGGCAGCAGCCTTTTTTCTATCACAGCAATGGATTATTAACCAGGTACAACCAGAGACTAGGGGCTGGCCAGGAACTGAAGAACGTACTTGCATAATAAAGAGCTTCAGGTTCTGGTGCTCCTGGAGCTCTCTATAACAGGGGTAGACAAACTCCGGCCCTCCACCTGTGGTGAAACTACAAATTCCATGATGCCTTTGCCTCTGGGAGCCATATCTGTGGCTGTCAGAATCTTGCAATGCCTCATGGGATTTGCAGTTGCACAACAGCTGGAGGGCCAGAGTTTGGCTACCCCTGCACTATAAGGTATCTGAAGCTACCTACAGGCAGCCCTAGGTGGTCCTTCATCCTGGCTGTTTACTAGTTCTAAAGTGATGACCGGTGTACTTTGACATCTCAGCCTAATCCATTGCTGAAGCCCAACCAGGGGATCTAAAAACAAAAAAAGAAGGCAATGACCAGCTAGATCCTGAAATAGATCAGATCTGGGCTGCACACTTTGGGGGGAATTTACCAAAGCTGGAGCAGACAAAATCTGGAGCAGCTGTTCATGGCAACCAATCAGCTTCTCTTTATCATTTTCCAAGATTAACTGTACAAACTGAAGATTGATGCTGATTGGTTGCCATGCACAGCTGCTCCAGATTTTGTCTGCTCCAGTTTTGATAAATTCCCCCCTGTGTATCCTGCAAGATCAGTTGCTGTGAGCGGAGAGGACTTTTAACACACATAACCTATCCTAATGAGTAGTGTTAAACCTTGTGAACGTTGCACTGATGAGATTTAATAAGATGGAACAGGTTGTGCATAAAGAAATGTTGTATACGGAGTAGATGATGCAGCACAATAATGGTATTTCTGAGGGATAGGTTACACTGGACCATTGTAGACATGACAATGGCAGGACATAATTTTCCTGTATAGAAAGGAATATAGGTTCACAGCAGCACAAAGTATTTAAACTCTGTTCCTGCATACATATGTGGAGGTAAATCAGGGTGCTAGAAGCAACCAATCAGAGTGACTCAATCTCAGACCTTGCACACTGAAGTCATATACAGCTTCATCTTTGCTCTCTGGTGCTCAAATAATGTTCTGACAGCGTGCTTACCCCAGTGATCTGTCCTCCGGCAACCATGAGCTGTGTCTGGGGTATGGCCGCCTGTAGTGAGGGATGCTGGGAAGGCTGGACTGGCTGCGGAGGCTCCCCAGGTTCTTCTTTAAATTTAGTCTAAAACAGAGAATGCCTTATAATTACTACAGAATACACTGAGTTCTGTTCAATCACACACAAAACGGCATCGCCATCCAAAATGCTGAATGTAAATATAGGAATTACCTGCAATTCTCTTCAGCCACTTTAGTTGTTAAAGAGACACTAAACTAAGGAGTTAATTCCTAAAAATACATTCAGGTACCTCAACTATTAACAACAATGTATCTTATTTGTGTATCACTCGGCTGTAAATCCCCCAATCATCTCTGAATTGGTGCTGACACTGTCCTTCCTTCTGGAGGGGGGCTACTTTTGTTCCTCATGGTCCCTGTGTGTGTTGTAAAGTAGTCACCGCTCCAGGCTCGCTCCTGTGATGGACTACAATCTCAGGTTTAGTTTACTAGTTTGTATTGGAGATTGTAGCCCATCCCGGGAGTGAGCATAGAGCGGTGACTACTTTACAACACACACAGGGACCATGAGGAACAAAAGTAGCCCCCCTCCAGAAGGAAGGACAGTGTCAGCACCAATTCAGAGATGATTGGAGGATCTACAGCCGACTGATACACAAATAAGATACATTTTTGGTAATATTTAAGGTTCTTGAATGCATTTTTAGGATGTAACTCCTGAGTTTAGTGTCAGTTTAACACACCAATGAGATGCTAGAGACAGAAAGTGACACCGCTGTTGGGATTCTGCAGCTTCCTGTGTCAGCATCCTGCCTCCAGCCTGATCATTGGACTAAAGCAAGCCATACAGGTCTCTGGTCCTGTGAGAGAAATCACTTGATTCCCTCATCCATGCTAAATAGCGTAGATGGTGGAAGCTTTCCTGGCAGCTTTTGTATAACCAAACAGTGGCTGCATCTCATTGGCTGCAGTCAATGTTCGGATGCAGATTTTCTGCCCCGCACCTTCGATTTTCAGATTGAAGTTTGTGGAGTCAAGTTTTGCCGACAGATTGAATGTCTTCCGATTCAGCTAGACAATGATCTGTGTATAGCTAGCTTGAGAAAGAGCATTACCCTCTTCCATCCAGTGTGCTTTCTGCCCCCCAGAACCTGAAACATGTGGGCAGCATAGTGCAATCAACAGTCTCTTACCACATATCTCCTAGACCCCTTTACACATGGTCAGTCCTCCCCTACTGTCACATTGGTGGTCGGCTGCCACCAACATCAATCACACACTGCACGTTCACTCCTCAGACAACTGTAGCTGTCAAAAACAGGTAGTGTGTGTATCACTGCTACATACCTAGATAAAAGGATAATGAACATACACACAACATACAACATACAATATATAGAAACATTTTCCCCCTGCCTCCTGCTGGAACTCGCAATCTTAGATCGGGTGTGGACAAATTAATACAAAATTCAGGAGCCAGCCAAAAATAGGTCTCCGCCTGTGACAGGAGGCGGCGCTATAGAGGAGGCATCTCCTTATGCGGCTCTTCTCCCTCCGCTGCCGCCGCGCTTCCTCTAGCCCTGGCTTCGTTGGCACCATTCATTCTCTCCAGCGGCTCAAGTTCCCCCTTATGCCACCACCGGCCCTGGGAAAGGTCACGACTAGGTCTTATTTTCGGGGTAGGTCTTATATTTTAGCATTTCCCAAAAATATTACTAGGTCTTATTTCCGGGGGAAACACGGTATCACTGGATGAGTTTTGTTATATCTGTTCATTAAGTGTGAAAAGTACCTATTGATTGTGTCAAACATTCAGGACTGCCCTATATCTTCTCCGCACTTCCTGTGTTATCTCAAGAAGCCCTCTCAGTTCTTACCTTGCACTACAGAACAATAAGCCCCTATGCTGTGGAGACGAAGAGAATGGGTGAGGTTCAGTCGTTTAACAACAGACAACTTGGCAGGGCTGACACCAAGTCTTGCAATTTCAGTCCACAAAAAGACATGTGGTGTCATTCCACAAGAGGACATTTGGAGCAGCGTGCGCTTCTGGCAGATCAACGAGTTTTATTCTGTACTTGCTCGGTCTTTAAAAACTGTGTTTGTATTGCAGAGATGTAGTGCAAATGTTTTTTAATGTATTTTTCCAGAAATAGGCTGTACGTCCCTACCGCGCACACACTAGGGGCCAGTTTGAGAAATGTTAGAAGCTCAGAGCCAGAACCCATGCTGGCAGGGAGCACATGACTCCATGCAGATAGCATCCCTATTGGGTGAAATCGGAGAGCTCTTTTGTATGAATGGACACAGGTTGTCACAGATGCACACCAAAATAGTGTGGAAAGCCTTTCCACAAGAGTGAGGGTTGTTATAGACACAAAGGGGTGGCAACTCCATATCAACGCCCATGGTTGCCCATAGTCCATTGAGCTCCAAAGAGGAACGATGGTCAGGTGTCTTTAAACTTTTGACAATAAAGTACATAAACAGCTGCAGGGGCTGACATTAAAATCAACCTGGAGGTTGGAGAGTGGGGGCCTTTGCAGAAATACATTCTGCTTTTGTCTTAAAAAAGACCATATGCTATTTTAACATAAAGACGCAACTGATGTTTAGTTGATTGTACAGGGCCTGATCCTTGCAATCACTTATAAAGCCATCCACAACTCTGCCCCCGGATATACCTCAAACCTTGTCTCAAAGTATCACCCTAACCGTCCGCTCCACTCCTCCCAAGACCTCATGCTTTCCAGCTGCCTTGTCAACTCCTCTCATACTCACCTCGAGGACTTCTCTAAAGTCTCTCCCATCCTCTGGAACTCTTTACCCCAACCTGTCCGTCTATCTCCCACTCTGACCACCTTTAGGCGATTCCTTAAGACTCATCTCTTCAGGGAAGCCTACTCCACCTCAACCTAACCGCTCAACCATCACGTTCTCAAACAATTCATCCCCACACAGCTGGCTCCTCATGTATCACTGGCCCCTGCCTTTTAGATTGTAAGCCCTCAGGATCAGGGCCCTCCTTACCATCTTGTCTTGAATTGTGATTGTAATGTCTTCCTTATATTGTAAAGCGCTGCGCAAACTGTTGGCGCTATATAAATCCTGTATAATAATAATAATCCTTGCAAAAGATGTGACGTTCCTTAGTGGACAATAAAAAAAAAAGCTTCCAAAGGTTACAACTGCTCCAACATTTTTAAAAACTTCTTAGGGGTTTTGGTCGTTCCCTATTCTATAAAGGGGCAACTCTTTCACTGCACCTTGGCACACACGCCTGTCCTCCATGGTGGAGGGCAGACTGTAAAAACTCCTGGGGGATCAGCAATGCGTTCAGCCATTGGCAGATGCCTCTCCATCCATCATGCTTGTAGAAGCCTCAGCCCATCCACAACTTACTCCAAGTATTTACATTATCCACTGGAACAAATCATAATTACATAACATTTCCACTTACGGACTAGCGCTCATCCATTAGCAGAATGAAGCACGTTGAGACCGTTATCATGACATGCCCCAGCGGCATTATATATCTGTATCAGACAACGGGATAAGTACCCATCTGCTAAGAGGGAAGGCCACTTGATACTAATAGAGTGCTACAAGGAGCACACTGATTTTCCACACTTCAGCTTCCTGTATGCGATGTACAGATACTGCCCGAGTCTACAGGAATGATGAAAGAGGAACTGAAGTCTGGAAACTGTGCCAAAAACAGGTGGGAAGAAGGCACAGAAGTCGTCACCAGTAGTTTCCTTGCAGCTGATCTTTCCGCTATTGCTAACTTACCATGCCTTGTTCTATGCTGTGTCTCTCTCTCTGTGTAGGCAGCCATCTTGGTAGTGGAAGGGCTGTTCCTCCTCAATTTAGAGCCTCCAGAAAAGAAAATAGTGTGCAGCAGAGTAATGGCATCACCAATTCTTACTCTGAATCTCCATGTGGTCACATCATGTCACGGCTGACAGGGTGATCAATGGCTTTGTTAACAAACAAAGCCAACTCTAACACTATTACCATGGCAACATGGACAGAACAATTATGCATAAAGGGTTTGCATTGTGGTTCCTCTTTACCTCAATCTCCAGTCTCATACTCCCAGCCAACAAGAAGCCCTGTTTGGCACAAGAATGAGTACAGGATAGTTGAAAGGAGCCCCAGTAACACTCAGTCGACATTTAAAGCCCATTGCATTCTTAAAAGTCAACTTTGATTAAGCCTTCCCCACTGAATTCTTAAAAATGGCAAAATCTCATCAGCATGTGCAGATATTTCACCAAAAATTGCCCAGTTTGTCTCTTACCTAATGCCTAAAGGTTTAAACACCTTTCTCTCTTTTTAGGCTTATACCTCCCTATGTTATTGTCTGTGAAGGTTCTCATTCATCCAGGTCATGGTATATCTGTAAAAAATAAGTCAAGGTAACTTGCCTTGCTCTATTTTTCTTAAAGACGTTTCACTGGAAATCCAACCAGCTTTCTCAATTTCTGAATTGAGAAAGCTGGTCGGATGGCCAGTGAAACGTCTTCAAGAAAAATACAGCAAGTCCAGTTGCCTTGACTTTTTTTTTTTTACAGATATGCATATGTTATTGTTTTTTTTCATGGCAATGCCTTCAGATATCCTTTCCTCTTAATGGAAATGCTCTTTATGCTCTCCTACTCCAGTGCTCAATCCTCGCCATACATGAGTAATGTCCATATCTCTTAATCAGGCTTGTGATGCTGAGGAGAAAGGGGGCCATGTCTGACCAGGCCTATGAGATTATAGAGTGCAATGGGCTGGGTGGTCAAACTCAGACTCCTATTGAACTGTGCTATGGTACTTAGGCATACTGTGCAAATGCCATCAACAAGAAAGTGGATATAAGGTTAAGAAAGTGAAAGTTACCAATACAATATCTGACTGAATATGTATTTACAGGTGAAACTCGAATAATTAGAATATCGTGCAAAAGTAATTGCAGCAATTGCTGCAAAAGGGTCCCAAACCAAGTACTGAGTACATATGCATGCTTGTACTTTTCAGAGGTCCGATATTGTTCTATGTACAATCCTTGTTTTATTGATTGCATGTAATAATCTACTTTTTTGAGATTGTGGA